TGCTTGGGAGTATCTCTACCTCCAGCCTTCTGTGTTCTGGAAATCAGTCTCCTCACAGCTTTTTTGAGGTTATGACAAGTCATTTTACAGTTTATTTTGTTACGTATCAGTTAACAATTTGTGTAGTTTGTGTAACCAGAACCTACAATTATACACATTAAGTTCCAATCGAAGTAATTGAAAGGTGCTCTTTTCATCTTACATTTTAACTTAGCATACAAACTAAAAGCAAAAACATGTTTTACACATTTTTTTTAATCTGGAAAATTTCTTTTAAAGGCTATTTTTTTTTTCTTTCATTTTTTTCAAAGAATGAAAAATACCAGGCATGTAGATACAAAAGGGATTATTTTCTCCTTTCTATGAAAGCAGTTTTAGTTTGATACGTACAGCTTAATCAGTATGGCTGTTTGACAACCATATTCTTCATTTTTATAAAAAACATAGTCATTTTTACATTGAGCCTATCATCAGAACACATTTAAATTGTCATTTTTGTGTAACTAATCAATTGGCTTTGCGTGTGTCTTTGCGAGAAGGGAATGAAAGAAGGCTGAACTCTGTGTAGTTTATGGAGGAAAATGGAAAACAGGAAATGTTTTAGGATTAGGCCCTGATGAGACTCTCCTGTATTTAGTCCGACTGCTTGTCTGTGTGAGGGCAAAAAGACAGGTATTTATGAGTTGTGCCTGTGTGTGGGTAAAAATAAGTTGTATCTAATGAGTGAGCGAGTACCTTCCCCCCCCCCCACCTTTCCCAGGGCTAGAAGCCATGGGGGCAGGGTGAAAAAAAATTGGGCAAAAAAAAAGGGAATAAATCCTGCTTTATGTCTGAAGTGACTTATCTCTGATTTTCTAGCAGGAGAGATTTAATATTCATCATTCTACAGTATAAACCATAAATATCTGCTTTTACCTTCCCCTGAATATGATACTAATGAAAGCTAAGACCAATCATCAAGGGTGAATTATTTAATACAATAATATTTTAATAGCTGAGAAGAGACACAAATAGTGGAGATGCCTGTGGCTAATGGATTTCCCTGCTAGGAGATAAAAGGCTGATTACACAGTAAAGCAAGTGAAGACCTGGTGCATTAATGACAGTTTACAGGTCAGTTCACTTACAGAGTGATTTAAAATGCACCATCTGTTTCCTAACTGTATGTTGATAACTATGATTTTACAGACAATCAGCGCGTCTTCAACAGAAAGAACTGGTACTATTTGTCATTTTGAGTTGGGTTGGTTTGGCCTCATAATATTTTACTGATCAGACTCTCAATTCTTTCCAGATGAAATAGTTTCTATATTGAAGGGATTGATAATAGTTTATCTTGCTTCCACTCAGCCTTTCTATGCCAGGTTAGAGAATTAAGCCCTAATGCCCTAAGGCATTAAGAGCTCTGGTGGCACAGTGGTTAAAGCATTCCACTGCTAACCGATAGATGGGCAGTTTGAACCCAGTAGCCACTCGCCAGGAAAAGATGAGGACATCTGTTTCCATAAAGATTTACAGCCTTGGAAACCCTATAGGGCAGTTCCATTCTGTCCTGTAGAGTATCTGTAGTCTGACTTGACTCAATAGCAGTGGGTGGGTTTGGTTTGAGACTCTAAGGGATCCATTGCATGTAGAGTTAACTTCTCTCTCATGCAGTGGTAGTTAAGTATCATCTTTGGGAACTTGAGAAAACAGTCCCTCAAATATTTTCTGTGTTCTGTGGTTAAAATAAAAAATCCCAATTGAGATAGGTCATACCATCAACCATTACCTAGTTGTTACTGGTTTTTTTTGTTTGTTTGTTTCCCTTTTATCTTACTTTTCCTCCCTCCTCTTGCTTCTCCCTGCCTTCAGTTCCCCATCTCCATGTAATCACTCTCCCCACCCTACACACACACACACACACACACACACACGGTCCCTCTCTTTCTCTTATATACACAAGAAAATGGGAGCCCACCTTTGGCTTCCACTCCTGATCCCTTCCCCGTTTTCACCTCTCTGTACCTTCTGTAATATGCAGTATATTATAGGAATTAAGTGTGAGGGCTTTGGAGCTTCCCTACCTGGGTTCACATTCTGTCCCTTTCTACCTGTGGTGACCTTGGACAAGTTGTTAACAGGCTCTGTGCCACTATTGCCTCATATGAAAATGGAGATAATGATAATACCTACCTGCAGGGGTTGCTGTGAGGATTTAATTATTCAACACATATTAAGCCTTTAAAGTAGTGTCTAGCACACAGAAAATTCACAATAAGTCTGCTGTTATTGTAATTATAAGAGACAATTGGGTGGAAGACCAGGCACTGATCCTATCTTCGGTCTGTGAATTAAGTAGGGCTTTATAAGTTACCTAAAGAAGTGATACTTGAACTGTGTCTTGGGAAAAGACTAGGAATTTTCAAGTTATACATCTACGGAGAAGAGCACATGTATGTTCTGTAATGAGGTTGCATGCACACAAATGTCAACTTTCTTAAACTAGTTCTTAGAGAGAAGTGGATTTTCTGTTTTGTTCATTGTTGTAATCCCAGTCTCTAGAATATGCCCTTGGCTCATAGGAGACACTCAGTTACAGTTTGAATCATTGAATCCAGAGGTCCTAAATGCCCACATACTTAATTTTCACAGGGTCATTTATTCTTAGCATAAGATATTAAAACAAACAAACTTAATTGTGAATTTTCTGCTTCAAAGCAATATATTCCTGCAAGAAATATGTCGATGGCTCCATTTTTTTTTTTTTTTTTTTTCTATATTAAAGCATAGGTAGGCAGTATGACATTTTACCTCTTAATCTGCTAGAGTAGCTCAACAAAGACCATAGCACTTGCTTGATTACGGGATTATCCTGAACATGCGACTTTACCCAGATATTATTAGTGCAAATTATTGATGCTTCTTAGGAATACACTGATCTTTCTTAATTAAAATGTGAAGAAACAAATATCCCAGGCAGCATATTTCCTTCTGCTTTAGTTAAAATCAACTGCATACAAAATGAAGAGGCCTAGTACTTTTCTAGTCAGGCTCTCATATGCTGCCTTATGCCAGATGTTCACTCTTCTTTCTTCTGGATGCCAGAGCATACTTCATAGCATCAGAAACTTCCCCATGGGCACCTCTGTATCTTCACCCTGACTACAGCAACAGGACTGTGGCCGATTCCAAAGAAAGGACGTAAGCCAAATTATACTCCAGTACAGAAGTTTCCTTCTTTTCAGAGGCCACTTCTAAAGGAGCCACCATGGGGGGCTTTCTCCCCAGCTTCCCTGCCTTACCTAGTCTGGCTTCTTGTACCTAATTAATTACATCCCTGGCTAGCCTGCTCTGGTCTCTGATCTGACAAAGCCTCAGAGGAGGGCTACTCTAACCTGTGTTCCTAATCAAGTAGATCAGAGATCAGAGACATTTTAGAGACAAAAAGACCTTAGAGATGGTGACCAGCCTCCCCCTTATACCATAGCCCCCTGTTCACTGCTCTTCTAGGGACTCAAGACAAACATTGAGCATGCAAATGGTCCATCATATGATGGATTTTCTTTTTCACAAGATAAATTAAAATACATAATTCTCTCTCTTTTTTATTATTTCTATTGTGATTTGGGTGAAAGTTCACAGAGGAAATTCATTTTCTATATAACATTTCATACACATTTTGCTTCATGACATTGACTGCAATTCCCCAGTGTAACAGCTCTCTTCTCACTTCCTTCCTATAGTTACCTCTTCCCTGTGTCCTTCCCTTCCATGCACTCCCACCCGCACCCCCCAAGCTATCTTCCTGTGCAAACACTGTCCTTCCATTCTCCCACAATTGTTTGATCACCCTGAGGAGTGTATCTACCTGATGTAAATGTTCACCTCACATGCCTGTCTGTTGTTTGGCTGGAAGGCACAGGAGTTAGTTCAGTTCCAGACCTGAAGGGTAACTAGGGGCCATTGTCTCAGGGGTCTTACCAGGCTCTATCAGACCAGTAAACCTGGTCTCTTTTTTGATTGTTGTTACAATTCTGAGTTTTGTTCTACATTGTTCTCCCACTCTATCCAGGATCTCCTGCATGGATCCCTTATCAAGTGGTTGACAGTGATAGCCAGGCACCATCTAGTTCTTCTAGTCTCATAGTCATATAGGCTGAGAATCCATAGTCTACTAGTCCCTTGGACTAATTGTTTCCATGCATCTTTGGTTTTCTTCATTCTTCTTTGCTCTGGATGAGAAGAGACCCAGCGTTGCATCTAGATGGCTGCTTGCAAGCTTTTAAGACCCCAGTCACTATTCATCAAAGTAGTATATAGAACATTGTTTTTGGGTAGTAAAATATGCCAATTGAGTTTAATATCTCCTGCGAACATGGTAAGCCCACAAGTCCAGCTACTTACTCCCTCAGGGTAACTGGCTGTGGCCAAGAAGCCACCACAGCCTTGCCCCTTGTCAGCTCTACTATATACCCGGACATTCTCATAGCACATACAAATACACATGTAGAAACCTCATCTACTAACCCTATACATGGACATGGGCACACTGCCCCCTGCCTAGACATGCCTGATCATTCAGCCTGTCCACCCATAGATCAATGCTTGCCATCACTATCAATTCAGTACTGTACAAGGAAAAGGATTCATCTTTGTTGTCTGTACCATCCATGCACCTCTCTATGTCTTCCTCTTCTTCAGTGCCATCGTGTTGATCACTCACTTTTAGTACAGTGCTCTTCCCTTCACCCAAATCAATAATACTCGTCTCTACCTATCTAGCAGTGTTCCCTCCCCTCCACTCACATCCCTGGTATCCAACAAAGTTTCCTTCCATATATAAACCTTTCTTTCACTTTTTACTGTAGTGAACTAATACAATATTTGTCCTACTGTGATTAACTTATTTCATTCACATAATGTCCTCCAGGGAGTTCTGGTAGCATAGTGCCTAAGGCACTTGACTGCTAACCAGAAGGCTGGTGGTTCAAACCCACCAGCCACTGCTCGGAAGGAAGATGGGGCAATCTACTTCCGTGGTGATACTGCCTCGGAAACCCACGGAGGGGTCACTATGAGTCGGGTCCGAATCGACGGCACATAACGACAACAACAATGTCTTCCAAGTTCATCCACATTATGCAGTGTTTTGAAGATTCTACATTATTCTTTCATGTTGCATAGTATTCCATTGTGTGTATGTACCATAGTTTGGTTTTTGTACCATTTTTCTGTTGATGGGTACTTAGGTTGTTTCCATCTCTTTGCTATTGTAAATAGTGCTGCAATGAACATAGGTGTACATATATCTGTCTTTGTCCTGGCTCTCACTTCTTCAGGATATATAACTAGTAATGGGATTGCTGGATCAAATGGTATTTCTAATTCCAACTTTTTATGGAATCTCCATGCTGATTTCCACAGTGGTTGTATTGTTTTACAGTGCCACCAGCAGTGTATGAGAGTCCGAGTCTCTCCACATCTTTGCTAGAATTTGTTATTTTCTGTGTTGTTGAACTTCGCTGCTAGTGCTGGGGTGAGATGGTATCTCATTGCTTTCATTTGCATCTCTCTAATGGCTAATGATTGTGAACATTTCTTCATGTGTTTGTTGGCTGCCTGAATATCCTCTTTGGTGAAGAGTCTATTTATGTCTTCTGCCCATTTTTTAATTGGATTGTTAATCTTTTTGTTGTTGAGGTGTTGGAGTTTTCTATAAGTTTTAGAGATAAGTCCCTTGTCAGGTATGTCGATGCTGAATATTTTTTCACAACCTGTAGGTTCTCTTTTTATTCTTTTGGAGAAGTCTTTTGAAGCACATAAATATTTAATTTTTAGAAGGTTTCAATCATCTAGTTTATCTTCTGCTGTTTGTGCATTTTGGATTATGCTTGATAGTCTATAAAATATATAATATTCTTAAAAACCTATATATAATTTTTTTTCTCTTACCATCCAGTGGGCTTATAGGCTCTTTCAAATGGAATTTAGGATTGAAAATAAGTTCCAAAATTAACTTAATAAATGAAATCAAGTTTTAATTTCTCTTCATTTGATCTCTGGGTTTACTGTTCTACTAATACTTTATGATTAAGCAAACAGACCTTCCCAGATGTAGGAAGACTAATATCACAGAGCAGATTTGGCTTAAAAGTTTGTTTGAATGTGCTTAAGAAACACAGCCATTTTCGCAATGTAAGGCAGGTATTCCTGTAGCTGTCAAGTTAATTCTAACTCATAGTGACCCTATAGGATATAGTAGAACTGCCTGCCCCATAGGGTTTCTAAGGCTGTAATGTTTATGGAAGCAAACTGCCACATCTTTCTCCCACAGAATGGCTGGAATGTTCTATACAGGTATTAAAGATAGTTAATTACAAGTCACTTCTCTCTGGACCTCGTGATCACATATTTAAAAATAGAGGATGGGACTACAAGTCCCTTCCAGTGTTAGGATTCTATCAATTTTAGGTTTTACATTAAGTTAATGAATGAGGGTAGAGAACTGAGGACAGAGAGCACACATAGCCCACCCTCTGCTCTGTGCTTTCTTGCTCTCTCTCTACACACACACACCCCTCTTCCTCTTTCTCCTCTTCTCTCTCTCTCTCTCTCTCATACACACACACACACACACATACACACAAGTCCTTGGTCCACATGGTTCTGTTTGTAACAAGATGTCCTTTGTTCCTGGGTGTACATTAGAATTAGTTGGACTACTAATCATAAAGGAGCACAGGTAATGTAGTGCCTAAGGCACCTGACTGCTAACCAGCAGGCTGGCGGTTCAAACCTACCAGCCACTCCTCGGAAGGAAGGTTGGGCAATCTACTGCCGTAGTGATACCGCCTTGAAAACCCAAGAAGGGTTCGTTATGAGTCGGTTCCAACTCTATGGCACATAACAACAACAACAACCAGTCATAAATAAGCAGTGAAAAGAAAATAATAATATCAAGTAATTTTATAATACCACATAATAATAAGAGATTTTGAGATATATTACATTTTGTAACTTTAGAAAAAATAAGGATACTATTTTGAATAAGAATTTGTTACTTTCAGCACCTCATGTTTACAAATTACTTTGTTTATTCATTCTGTGCACATTTATTAATTTGTAAATATATTTCCTATATCCATTAAGGGCTAAGCACTAACTTGCAGCTGTTGTTGTTGTTGTTAAGTGCCGTCGAGTCATTTCCGACTCATAGCGACCCCATGCACAGCAGAACGAAACACTGCCCTATCCCGCGCCAGCCCCACAATCCCTGCTATACTCGAGCCCATCATC